GACGCAGAGAACGCCCCCTTTACGTTTTCTATATGGCATTACCTCAATGATAATGGCAGAAATTGGGTCGAAATGCGCTCAGTGATTGGCCCCGAGTGTGTCAACATTTACAACGACTCATTAAACAAACAAATTGATTGGAAATGTGAATATTTATAGACCCCAAACGTACGTGTTATCTAATGGAAGTAATGAAGATATATGTGTGTGTGTGTGTGTGTGTGTGTGTGTGTGTGTGTGTGTGTGTGTGTGTGTGTGTGTGTGTGTGTGTGTGGATGTGTGTGTGTATGTGTGTGTGTGTGTGTGTGTGTGTGTGTGTGTGTGTGTGTGTATGTGTGTGTGTGGATGTGTGTGTGTATGTGTGTGTGTGTGTGTGTGTGTGTGTGTGTGTGTGTGTGTGTGTGTGTGTGTGTGTGTGTACTCACCTAGTTGTGCTTGCGGGGGTTGAGCTCTAGCTCTTTGGTCCCGCCTCTTAACTGTCAATCAACTGGGTTGATTGTGTGTATGTGTGTGTCTGTAAACCTATTTCCCCAGCAGGGTGAGGACCGCCCCCTGGACCCACCAGCAAGGTGAGGACCGCCCCCTGGACCCACCAGCAAGGTGAGGACCGCCCCCTGGACCCACCAGCAAGGTGCGGACCGCCCCCTGGACCCACCAGCAAGGTGAGGACCGCCCCCTGGACCCACCAGCAAGGTGAGGACCGCTCCCTGGACCCACCAGCAAGGTGAGGACCGCCCCCTGGACCCACCAGCAAGGTGAGGACCGCCCCCTGGACCCACCAGCAAGGTGAGGACCGCCCCCTGGACCCACCAGCAAGGTGAGGACCGCCCCCTGGACCCACCAGCAAGGTGAGGACCGACCCTGGACCCACCAGCAAGGTGAGGACCGCCCCCTGGACCCACCAGCAAGGTGAGGACCGCCCCCTGGACCCACCAGCAAGGTGAGGACCGCCCCCTGGACCCACCAGCAAGGTGAGGACCGCCCCCTGGACCCACCAGCAAGGTGAGGACCGCCCCCTGGACCCACCAGCAAGGTGAGGACCGACCGCCCAGACCTCAGACTAAAGGAAAACTATTTACTTTTAAAAGTGTGAGGACCACTTTCCAGAGGACACAACTTCTTCAGTGCGGGTCAGCCAACTTTAATTACCACTTCAACTCTGCCAAGTCCACCGTGACGCCCATGCTAGTGTAGGGAGACACGGGGAGGATGTGGGGGGTTCTGGGGAGACAGCGGGTGGTCAGGGGAGGTGCGACTGGTCTGGGGGGATAGAGACCAAGTAGCAAGGGGGGCTAATCAGCATGTCCACGTGATCTACTCAGACCACAGACCATTCAAGCATTCGTAGATATCACTCGTAATGTCAATATGAGAATAGAGACATTACGTCAAAGGAGTTAGATTCTCCGGGGACTTGTAGGAGGAAGAGTGTCGAGGCACAACTTTTCGGTCATCTTGGGAAGACATAATCACGACATTTCACCGGGAGATGGATGGCTGTTAGCGGAAGGTTGAGACTAAACCCAGCAAGGAGCAGGTTAACCCACCAGTGTCTGTGTTCAGGAGTACACCTTATGTGGCCGACACTGTGTCGAGTAGCAGCAGTAACACATCCTACACTATACTCTCCCTCTTAGCCTGAGTAATACGTCTGAGTGAGTCGCCCTCCACCTGGAGTGGGAGGAACAGTCCCCCACCTAGAGTGTGAGGCACCGCCCGCCACCTGGAGTGTGAGGCACCGCCCGCCACCTGGAGTGTGAGACACCGCCCCCCACCTAGAGTGTGAGACACCGCCCCCCACCTAGAGTGTGAGGCACCGCCCCCCACCTGGAGTGTGAGGCACCGCCCGCCACCTGGAGTGTGAGACACCGCCCCCCACCTAGAGTGGGAGGAACAGTTCCCACAGTCACCCACCTGTGGGAGGTGACCACAGGGGCAACAATTACCACACAAATTGCATTTCCTCTCCCCCCACAGCGCGTGAGCCCCACCTAATCTACTTTAGCCATGTGGTAATTACACCATCTCTCACCAGCACCCCCCCCCCCTCCCTCAATATTTTGAGCCCTCAAACTTATCTACACTCCTCCCCCCCCCACCCACCCCACCACCTCTCTCAGACACTGTGGCGTATTAACAATGTGATTACCGTCAAGTAGAGTCGTTTGTATTCTCGCCAACACTATTCTCAGTCAGTTAATTGGTCACGTCTATGTAGATAACTTTACCTCGTGGCTGAAACCATCGACTTTCATAACACCAGAAGCCCCTTAACCCTTCTCTCTCCCGCTCTTACCCAGAAAATAAACCCTCTTGCGAGTCATTATATATAAACATCACCATTTACGAACCATTAGTAAAACACCACCGTTTAAAAAGTCATTTGTAAATCATCGCCGTTTAAAAACATTCACATTATGAATGGTTAAGCTTGATCAGGGAAGACATTTGTAAAATCTCTTGTATGTATGTACCTTACCTAAATAAACGTTTATTTATTTATTTACATCAATTGCATTACTAGCAATATTACTGACGCCTGGCATCTTCTGCCTTACTGCCCGAGGGATGATGCCCATCATGCCCGAGGGCATCATCGGGAAACGCATAATAAAAATAATTTCAAACACTAAAATGTTACCAATAATGGCCACATATTGTCTACAATATGACTGGCAACACTGATGAGCACTCGACAGAAAACGGAACAGAAATGCTATATATATAATGGGTAACTAAATTAAAACAGAAAGTTGTAAAAAGTTTTAAGAGTCAACAGTAACACCAGCACTGGGGCAACGGTAACAAACAGCACAGGGTCAACAGTAGCACCACAGTGCCAATATTGACAACAGTGGCATCGTTAATAAAGAGTGTGTGTGTGTGGGGGTGTTCGTGCTAGCGTGAGTGTCTCAACACCAAGCCTGCCAGTTACCAAACATGTGCTCACGTTTTTCCCGGGAAAATTAAACGCTCTGTCAATAGGCTAAGTTTATCAAAGAATTAAGACCCTGAATAATTAGTGTGCCTGTGTGTGTGGTAAGCATACACGAGTGAAGGGGAGGAGAGTGGGTGCGTGTGTGTGTGTGTGTGTGTGTGTGGTAAGCATACACGAGTGAAGGGGAGGAGAGGGAAAGTTGTGGTGAAGGGATGAAATGAACTTTATTATGTTTTTTTTCTTATTAGGCTTCTATTCTGCAGGCATTCTGAGTCGTGTTTTCTTCAGAGCATGATAAGTCCCAATCATTTTGTATGTTAGTAGGCAATTGTGGCTGGGTATTCTTGGAGGGAAGAGTAGTTAAGGAACTTGTACTGACCGGGATTCAAACCCAGGTCGTCTTGTATGGTGAAAGTATTAACCACTACGCCAGGCTTCTGGTGATTTTACTAGGCCTGTCAGCAGTGTAAAAATGGCGAGGCAGTCGGCATATTTACTCCGTCTTTTTTTATATTTTTACACACTCATTCCTCCTCTCATTTTTGTTTCTCTCATCTTAGTTCTCCCCTCGTTACTCCGCTACTTTATTCCTGCTTCCTCATACTTCCTATCCTTATCCACACACTTCTTTCCTGTCATCCTTCCCGCTCACCCCTCTCATGTTCTCATACATTCTTCCTCCCATACCTCCCTCCCACCTTCCCTCCATCCCTATCACGTTCCCTCCCTCCCTCTCTCCCCCTCCTCCCTCCCTCCCTCCCTCCCTCCCTCTCATCCCCTCACCCTCCCTCTCACCCTCCCTCTCACCCTCCCTCTCACCCTCCCTCCCTCTCACCCTCCCTCTCTCCCCGTGTATATCCCCGACCTTGTATACCGGGAATGGGATCGTTAAAGATACAGAAGCACTCGAAATTCTTATGGAATCTCCTTTTAGGTTATAATATGGCGCAGTTCAGGTGGTAGAAGGAAGCTGCTGGGCCGACTTGAAGAAAGGATATTGATGACTCAAGACTCTTAACTGTTAATCCTTTTATCTCCTTTCTACTTTGATAAATTGAAGAATTACGAAGAACATTAAGAACACGAGTGAATAAAGTAATTACAAAGCTCCTTGTATACTCTTGTGCCTGGCTGTCAATGAGCTGCATGATGATGTCTTCATCTTGGAATAAAGAGCACCAAGTAACCCTATAACCGTCATAGCTCACCATGCTCGATATGCCACACAGAAAATATATAAATGACACCACAATAACTATTTCTTCTGGTGGTCTTGCGAGGCTGTGATTATATATGTTAGCTCTGCTGTAGTCTGGCTGGCGAGTATTAAAGTAAGCGACCACAACCACAATTATCTGGCTGTTTTAGATTATATCTAAAATTGTTAACTAAGTTTGTAAGGCCTACAGGAGTTCCAAAATAATAGTATCTGATTGCATGAATCTCAAACGTTACTCGAAATTTATAATAGCAAGTGTTTTTAATCTGTGATTTGATACGAAAGCAAATACCAGATTTATTGAGATAACTCTTTTATATATTTGTACTTGCTCGTGTCTACATTCAAGCAAAAATATTGGAATGCCATTGGCAAATATACATTTCCAGTCAAACGATCGCTTATGATTTTGTGCCACTTTTAAAACAGCAAAACCTAGTGTGTTATGATTGATTTTATTTTTTAAGTATCTAGTTAGCCTAACACTCACACAAAGAAAATAAAAATTAAGGCACTGACACGCGGCAGTGTTAGAAATTACATATATATATACACATTATATATATATATATATATATATATATGCAATTCAATTGTTAAGAATACAGATCACATGGTATATAAGACGGTTCGCAGCCTAACATAACTCATCCTAACCCAGCGTTGCCAAACCCAATCATTCTATCGTCACCTAAACACAAGTAGCCCAACGGTATATGCTATCTGTGATAAGATAGCATAGCATATATGGCCTGATAAGACTATCTGTGTATAATATCAGGCCACATCTTACATAAAGATGATTCACTGATTATAAAACTTACCTAAGGTAGCCCAAGGTGTTGTTAGGGACACGTAACAACACAGCAGAGGGAACAACTTACCATGTTAACAACAGACGTTGAACTAACTTATTATTACTTCAACGCAGGTGGTCTACTACCCTTCATGAAGCCTAATGGCGTCCTGAGACAAGCGAATACAAGAAGTTATTATTACCAGTAGGCTGTTGTTGTTATGTTGTTAAAGATTTAGCTATTCAGAACGGAGTGTCCATGTAGCACGGGCTATGGTGAGCCCGTAAACCAGTAGGCGGAGACAGCACTATATATATATCTATCCCTTGCAGGTGTGTGTGACAGGTGTGAGGCGGTTTATTATCGTGGGTCCCGGGGTAACCTTACCTGCATTCTTATTGGTCGTCTGTGTGTAATTAAGGACAAGACTATCGTAGAGACACTTGGGCTGTTCCGAGTGTGTGTTGTCACTCAATGACTCGCTGAGGAAGACAGAACAGAATCAATTTCTCTCTACGTCTGATTCAGCGCCGAGGCCCTCCAGTAAGGTAAGTTTGCTCGTTTGAAGATCTCGTTTGAATAGGCTTTTTGAAAAGGAGAATTTTATGCGGGAGAATATTAAAACTGCTTTCTGACTTCATTAGAAGTTAGGCTACGATTTTTTTTTTTTGTTACGAAATTATTCGTCTCTTCCTCTCAGTCCGGATCCGTTTTCTATGCAAGTTGGATGGCGCTACATTGTGAGAAAGTTTAGCAACAGTTTTAATTGTTGCTGATTATGTCAGGCATGGCAACACTGTCTCGGTGCACTGTGAGTCATGGCAACACTGTCTCGGTGCACTGTGAGGCATGGCAACACTGTCTCGGTGCACTGTGAGTCATGGCAACACTGTCTCGGTGCACTGTGAATGATGGTACAGTATAGGTATTGTACCAGTAACCAGCGTCCCGCTCAGTGTAACCAGTGCTGTACCAGCCTCACTCAGTGTAACAAGTGCTGTACCAGCCTCACTCAGTGTAACCAGTGCTGTACCAGCCCCACTCAGTGTAACAAGTGCTGTACCAGCCCCACTCAGTGTAACCAGTGCTGTACCAGCCTCACTCAGTGTAACAAGTGCTGTACCAGCCCCACTCAGTGTAACCAGTGCTGTACCAGCCCCACTCAGTGTAATAAGTGCTGTACCAGCCTCACTCAGTGTAACAAGTGCTGTACCAGCCCCACTCAGTGTAACCAGTGCTGTACCAGCCCCACTCAGTGTAATAAGTATACGGGTGAAGGAAGCGAGGCAGAAACACAGGAAACTTGTCCTCATTTATGAATTCCATGAGTATCCTTACCCTATTCCCCTCCACCTCTTACCCATCCCCAGTAGGGAGCCGGTCGGCCGAGCGGACAGCACGCTGGACTTGTGATCCTGTGGTCCTGGGTTCGATCCCAGGCGCCGGCGAGAAACAATGGGCAGAGTTTCTTTCACCCTATGCCCCTGTTACCTAGCAGTAAAATAGGTACCTGGGTGTTAGTCAGCTGTCACGGGCTGCTTCCTGGGGGTGGAGGCCTGGTCGAGGACCGGACCGCGGGGACACTAAAGCCCCGAAATCATCTCAAGATAACCATTGCTCTACACCCATTCCCGAATCCCATAACCCCTTACCAATCGCCCTTTCCCCTTACCCATGCCCCTCCACCCATTAACCCATGACCCATTCAACCACTACCCATCCCCCACATCCCCCCATAAGAAAACAGTGTTTGTAATAAGACGTTGCGCCAAACTTTACACATTCAGTGATAAGGATCCAGCAATTCTTTAGCTGTGCCTCTTTCCAAAGTTTGAGAAGGAATGAAAGTAATTCTGAAGCGAAAGCTTTTCACCTTGCAAAAAAAACATTGGAAAGAAATTACAATCTCGATCTTGCAGGGATTGTTGTTGAGAGTTTGGTAGAAAGTGTTGATTGTTGTCTCAAGGTTATTATTGGATGCCTATTCTCAGAGTCGCGTCCTTTGCATCGAGGGAAGACTCCGGCATTTTAGAAATAACCTAAGCTACTCTATCCCTTTGAGAATTTTTTTCTTGTCTGAATAAACATACTTGAACTCCAACAAACATCAGGGAAAATGAGAAATGAATCCCGCTGCACTATAAAATTATTCCAGGCAAATTCATATCAAACTAATACATTCACTTTGATATGATTGACCTGATTGTTACCTTGAGGTAGGCCCGTAAGTGGTAGTCCTCTTGAACCATTAACAGTATCAATAGATGATACTGGAGATCTGTGGAGGTGCGACTGGACCCTGCGTGACGGGAGATGTATCCCTTGTTTCTTGTGATTGATTGATGAGGATTAAGCTACCCAAAAGGTAGCACGGGCATGAATAGCCCGTAAGTGGTGTTCTTGTTAGTCACAGTTGATTTTTTTTTATTGAGGCTGGTATTTTATCCCCTGATTCCATGTATAACTAACCATCCTGTGAGATGGGAATATTTAATGAACTTATAGCTAGTTTTTGATATACACTGTGTAATCTTTCATATAGAATAGGGTAGCAGCACATTACTGTGTATACCTAAGCTTGTTAATAATAACAAAAAAAAAGTTAGTTTCTATCGATAGGGAGAGCGATGGTTCAAAAATCCTTCTTTAAAATATGAATATCTTTCCTATCTCACTAAGATCTAATCTCTGTGATTAAAATGCAAAATTGACTTTGTCACTGCCTTTTTGATAACGTATACAATCATAAGCTTATTTGTGAATCTCTATTAAACAGTAAATCAGAGAGCGTGTAAGGTTCCGTGTTCCATGTCCGAAGAAACAGGGAGATTTTACATAAATATAGTACATGATAGTTTAAGTAGCGAACGCATACCAACAAATAACGATTAGTATCTATAACAAAAATATTGTTCTATGGAGTTGATTTAACTTCCAACCATGTATTTTTAAATAATCTTTAACGTTTTCTGTCTAGTTATGTTAGATTTGATTAAAAATACGCACTCTACTTGTTAATATCGTTAGATTTGATTAAAAATACGCATTCTACCTGTTAACATCATAAATTAAATTTGCGATAATTTGAGCAGAGAAGTTCGACGACTGGATCACTGTGTACAGAAGGTTGATATGCCAGCAAACACTTTCCAGAGAGCAATATATCTTGGATAAGTCGCTCCACGATATTGTTGCTTGGACCATCGACTTCCTTTGATATTACATATTTACATCTTATTTTGTTATGAAATGATATTATTTCAGAGTAAAATTATGTTTTCTCATTTTCTGCATCCAGCATCCACATTATAGTGAGTAAATATACCATATTACTTTTTTTTTTTTTTTTTTTTTTCTTTTTTGCAGGGATAATCCTGCGCGGGCCCTAAGCCTCTGGCTGGCCCACTAAGTGTTGCTTGTTTCTGTGTTACTTGGGCGGAGTATGAGTATTTATGACTCGTATGGTCGCTTCAGTAAGATTTTGCCATATGTGTTTAACAACTTCTTCTGCTCTGTTGAATCTAAGTTGAAATCTTAATGGGTTTGTAACTGTGCACTGTGTTAGATAATGTTCCAGTGGTCTGTCGGGCATTTCTCCACAGTGGTGACATTTCCTCTCATCTTCCGGAACCTGTAAGCCTATTTCCCATGCACATGGGTATCCAAGCCTGATGCGATGTAAGTGCACTTCTGTTGTTCTACTGCCCCCTTTCATCAAACTAAGTGGTTCGTAGTTGGTTGAATTCTTGTACCAACCCGCAGATCCTGATGTTGCAACTGCTGTGTTGTGGTCACTGTACATCTTTTGCATACTCTGTTTCGAATTACTTTCTTCATCTGTGATAGACTCTGTGGTATGTAAATGTCTACATTTCTCCTCTTAGTAGCAAGTTTTGCAGCTTCGTCTGCAATGTCATTACCTATGATTCCCACATGACTTGGCACCCAGTTGATAAGTACCCGTCGGCCTTGTCGTTTGAGTGTGTGCATGAATGATAAGACATTTGTGATCAGATGGATGTTATCACATATGTGTCCTTGTTGCAAGGTTTCAATGGCGGTTCTCGAATCTGTATGTATGATAACATGTTGTCGGTGTTCAGCAAGAGCATGCTCCAAAGCCTTTTGAATGGCTAGCATCTCTGTTTGTAAAGTCGAACACCCATTTGAGAGCCTCCAACTATTTACAGAGTTTCCTGCTTTAACTGCAGCTCCGGTTTCTTGTCCCTGCTGGTCTACTGATCCATCTGTGAAGTAAGTGAAGCTGTCGGATGCCATGTTTGCCTCTATATGCATCTGTGCAATGTTACGTAGCAGATGAGGATTTGTCTGGTTCTTCTTTCCTTCAAGAGCCATAATCTTAAAGTCTGCTGGCAGAGATTCCCAAGGGGCTTGTATAACAAAGTCTGCATGTATGTCGTCGACACCCCTCTCAGTGACCTTGTTTGTCATATCGAATGTATTGATGGTGTTTATCGCACAATGGGTCCACCTGTTGCTATTGGAGGCTCCTCTGTCCAGAGTTAGTGCTCCAGTGATTAATTACTTCATTGCTTACGTAATGCTAGGAAGGTTTGAGTAGCTTTGGGTCTTTAGTGGACAGAATCTCCAATAGATGGGGCGAGAGTCGCCCCATCTCTCTCGACCGGGCGGGACTCGAAACTTAAATTAAAATTGCTATATCATTGGTCTCCAACATGATATATTTCCTTTAATGCACTCACAATAACGATTATAGCTCTGTCTTTCTGGAGGCATGTAATATTTTAGGCTTTATTAGCGTATCTTTGTTAATTACACAACATATTGGCAAGTGCGTAGGCGTCTGCACTCCATGACCGAAAAGCTACTGAACGCCACTATAAAAACATATATATCTTCACTTGAGCTTTAAATATGTCTAATGTAATGTATTTAAAATAAAGCTTATATTTCTATCTTTCTTAAGACGTGTAAAACATTTGTGTTTATTAACGAATTTACGTAAAATAAACATTCTTCTGAGAGAGTTGCTCTGTCGCTCAGTCTATGCGGGGGTCGGAGCTCGGCGATTATTAAAATACATGAATCTTCATTAGAACTTTAATTATGTCTATGATAAAGTGTTTAAAGTGAGCCTTATATTCCTATCTTTCTTGAGGCATATAAAAAAATTACGATTATTTACAAATTTACGTGAAATAAGCATTGTTCTGAGAGAGAGTTGCTCCGTCGATCGATCTGTCCGGAGTCGGAGCTTGGCTATTATAAAAGTACACGTATCTTCGCTTTAAATTTAAATATGCCCATGGTAAGGTATTTAGAACGAAGCTTATATATCTGTCTTTCTTGTGACATATAAAACTCTTACGTTTATTAAGGAATCTGCGTGAAATAGGCATTGTTCTGAGATGAATGCTGCGGTTTTCGAGTTTGACGAGCGATGAAAACTGCCACTTTTATACAACTACAAATATCTTCGGTTTTACTTAAAATATTTGTCTGGTAGAGGTTTTACATATAGATCGCGTTTCTGTCTTTCTTCTGACTAATAAATAATTTTGGTTTAATCAGTTATCAAGATGTTTTCAACAATATTCTTTCAGCGTTCGTCTTTTCCAACTTGGGCGACCCTTTTGGAAGCGCGATACTTGGGTTAACCCATCCTATAGTTGGGTCTGTTTCCAACTGGGGTTCGAATATCTACACCATGTGTAGCAGCCAGGTGGAGGAGGTGAGTGTGGTGTTTACCCGAGTTTACCTGAGAGTCGGTAACTCTAGTGGCCTAGCACTGATCTCGAACCCATTGTTGATGTGACGACTTATATTGAATTTTGTAACTAGCTCATCAAGATTGTTAACTTGGTTAGCTAAATGAATTGTGGGGTTCAGTCCCTGAGCCCATTATGTGCCTCTGTAACCCTTTCCACTACCGCCCACAAGATGGGTATAGGGTGCATAATAAATGAACTAAGCTAACTAACTGGCACTGGTGGTCAGAGGGTAAGGGGATAATGGGGCTTCTCACTATAATGACGCCCTAACACTTGCTGGAGCCCGAGGTGTTGGGTGTGTGTGTATACACGTCATTTCGTACAAGATAAGGGTTGTTAAAACTATCTTAAACAACCTCTACACAACCTAACCCAACTGGTTTTATGGTCTAATCCAACCTAAACCGAGCTTAACATAACCTAACCAGAATAACAATAATGCTATATATGGTTTGTTTTTTAAGTTACAAAAATTAGAAAAGTATGAAACATTTTGTGATATATATAACCCCTAGAATCGTAGATTATAAAAGTCATCATTTCATAATGCATATATGGTATCTAACTATAGAACATATAATGACTAGCTACTGAATGTATAGTGTTGAGAATGTCTGTCTGTCTGTAAAGGGATCCAACCCTAGTTTACACATTGTTGTTTTCCTTCATAAAGATACAATATTTCTCCTTGCAAATTGTGTACAGTATTATCATGGCCTTAGCACCAAAATACTTTCATTTTTTACTCTTTAGTGTGGGTTAAGAAATCGTTCTCAAACAGCCGTTTGTTGTATTTTAGTGAGGTACTCAAAGGTTGCCAGATGTAATATATAAATTTTAACAGGCTTACCTAACATAAACCTAACAATCCCAATTTAATCTACGACAACCTAATACAGAGCATTATCCCCCAACAATATAAATTTGGCAGTGAATGTAATGCTGTATTTTTTTTTCTGGTTTTGGATAAATATTTAAAGGGTTGATACTATAACTGATCGGTGAGAGAGTTGCCGTATACAAGGTTCATGAGCCTACCTGTGTTTGATGCACATCTGATCTAATCATCAAATATTAAATACATGTAATGCAATAAAATACTTTGTTAAATTGTTTGAACTGTACTTTTTAAATTACATGTAAATGGGCAAGTATTTAAAGCATAGGGAAAAAGAAACAACAATATTTTAATGGTCACTCATTATAATCATTACAATTTGAATTCTCCTATTTTATAATTAATAATATTATACAAGCATAATTTTCTCATAATTTGCAGATACAAGATTTATAAGTGACACACACCTCCGATTTTCCCTCTAATTTATTTGACAAATAGGAAGACTTGAAGTTACAAAATGTCTTTAGCATCGCAAAGCTCGCCACTTCTCTCGAAGATTGTGTCTTCGTCTGTGGTATTTGCCAACCATGCCGGGAAAATCATCCGTGACATCATGAAAAAGGGGGAACTGGGAATTGTTCAAAAAGAGGTATGGTTTAATTGATAAATATTTATTTTGTGCTTTGTTATATACTGTATTACATTGTTAAGAATTTCTTATGCAATTGCAGTACTGTGATGTGTGCCAGTAAATGATTTGTCTAATAATAATTACATGAAGTGGAGAAGGACATTGTAATTAGGAAGGAAAGGTCATCAAGGCAAATGGGGGGGGGGACCTTCGACAAGCTGCCTGCTTCCTGTCCTTGTCGAGGCCACTAACACTAGTGGCCTTCAGGTAAATTCAGGTATTTTACTGGCTGTTGGCACACTACTGAAAGCATTTCATTAATAACCTTAAAAGCAGTTTTACAATAATAAATTTGATAAGAACATTTACTGTGGCTTCAATAGGTTCTTAGCATCCTTTATTAACAATATTGGGCACTCATTAACTTTTTTTATTTTTCTAGCAGACATTTTGCTTGTGATGACCAAAACACACACAAGAAAGTGAAGAGACGACAACGTTTTGGTCCGTCCTGAACCATTATCAAGTCGATTGTGATAATGGACCACAATAGACTTGACAATGGTCCAGGACGGACCGAAACGTCGTCGTCTCTTCACTTTCTAGTGTGTGGTTTGGTCAACATTTTTCAGCCACGTTATTGTAGCTCCTCATCTGCATTTTCTTGTGATATTGGAAGTTAATACTAATTGGCTTAATGAGAAACTCAGGTTTTTGAAAGTTCAATACAGTACTGTCAAGCCTTGAGTATGGAAGCAAACTGTAACGGTTAGCACTCTCGTGAGGTATAGTGGAGGGCTTCACTAACTTGATGCATTATGTACAATAGTATATACTAGTACTGTACAGTATTGTATATAGGTACATTCACAATCGACTTGAGAATGGTCCAGGACGGACTGAAATGTCGTCGTCCCTTCACCTTCTAGTGTGTGGTCTGGTCAACATTGTATATAGGTGTTTGTTTTAAGTTTAATGACTTAATAAAGAAGGGTTTTGCATGAGAAACATTTAAATTTGTATATATTTTATTTGTTATGAGGATAACTAAGTTACAGGTGATCTCACAAGGTATTCCAGGTCCCTATGCGAGGCATATCTTAGCATTAAAAATGTTATGAATATTCTTATCCCCAAAAAATGCCCATGCCTTTTATACATACAGTATATATTAGGCCAGATACAGTATGAAGAAATATTAAAAATAACTGCCATTGGACTGATCTGAACAATAACAAATGCAACTGTAATGTATAGGTTTTTATACAGTATTATAATTAATTATTAGTGTTGACAGCATCATGTTAATATGACATGGAAAAGTAATAATTTTGTCTGCAGTTTGAAACACAATGCAGACATCACAAAATTACTACTTTTCCATTTGATGGATAATATTTGTCATCATTGGTTGTTCTGTTTTTTTTTTTTTTGACAGAGTGCACGTGATTTGCAGACGGAGGCCGACAGGGCAGCTCAGCGGTGCATCATAGGCTCCCTCGCCAGATGTTTCCCAAAGCTCACTATCATTGGTGAGTACAGTTACCAAGGAAGCTGTAGGCATGCATGTGGTTGGGTACTATAGTAGTCATAAAGAAGACAATACATTGAATAGTTGCTGTGAGCAAGTACTGAAATATGTACAAATATTGTATTTAGATTTATTCAAGGATTATAAACCAATTGTTTTTGTAAGACAATAGATAATAACTGGATGGAGATAATTTTAAAGAATGTTTATATTTCATGTTTGTGTCCAACCACTTGGGCTGGACGGTAGGGTGACAGTCTCGCTTTGTGAAGGTCGGCGTTCAAACCCAGACCGTCCAAGTGGTTGGTCACTATTACTGTACTTTCCTCCGTCCCATCCCAAATCCTTAACCTGACCTCTTCCAAGTGCTATATAGTCGTAATAGCTTGGCACTTTTCCCCTGATAGTTCTCTTCCCTTCATGCCTTGCTCCTGAGGACCTCTCTTTCTTGTAATAGAATGAAATTGATATTAGATTAGTTAAAGTTGCATAAATACAGTACTATGTTTTATTTAAGAATGAATTTAGCTAAAAATAAAGAAACAAATTATGTCATGATATGCATATACAATAATTCTTGGTTGAGCAAATGGAGGTTGCCAATACTATAGATTTACCCGATTTACCCGAGGGCCACTTACGCTAGTGGCCTCAACAAGGACAGGATGCATGCGGTTTGTCGTACTGTATTTGCCAAGACTAAAGACTAGTCACCTGAGGTTTTGTTGACATTAAAATCTTATATATTGCCCTGGTAAAGATACCAGACTTGGCATGGTCTTGATGTAATTCCATATTTATGAGGCATGTCGCTGCTGACACAAAGCACTACATCTGTGGCAAGTAGTACGTTGATGATAAAGGGTTGCTGCACTTAGCCTAAGGCGTAAATACTGATCACAAGTTATAGTTTCTTTGCATATTACTGACACTAAAATCCTCCTTTAGTTGCCTCGCAAGCAATTGGACCAGTGTTCAACTCGCAAGAAAAACTAGATATTGGACACTTTTCATTACACCCTATGCCTCAGTTCAGCTGGCACTAATTAGGTACCAGGAAATTTGGCAACTCTTGTGGGTTGCATCCTGGTAAAGGTCAGTCATTGGCCTGGGATACTCGGTAAGTCTAACGGCTTCCTGTCCCCGACACTAGGAAACCATATTAGAGTATTTTTGGGAAAAAAAATTGCCTACCACAACAGGTGTAAAATATGAGTTAGAGTTGGAAGGTTTATTTATCTCATTCTATTTACTTGTTCTATATATGCCTAATTGTTACTTTGGCTCCTGATTTGTTTGATCTCTGATTGCTTGAGGTACATCAAAATGCCTTAAAGTTTCTTAATAAGCATTTATTGAAAATGTTGGTTATATTATTCAATTGCAGTGCAAAGTGAATTTTGTTACTCTGATAAAAAATGGCTATCGGTAATGAGTGTTCTACCCAATTTTTGGATTTAAATTAATTTCAGTTGAAATTTAACTGAGTAAATCTTTCTTTTAGGAGAAGAAGGGGAGGAAGATTTGCAGGATCTCGGCCAACAAAGCTTTGATCCTACTACAGAAGCTACTGAGCAAGTTCTCTGCCCTCCGCACTTAGCCTCCCTTTCAGAAGAAGAGGTGAGGTGTTTGTGTGTTTTTTAATGTAGTTTTGTATTTTTAAAATGTACAGAAATTCATAATCACTAAACTTGAATTTGTCTTTCTATATCTTCTTAAACACAAATTTGCAATTTTCAGTGCAAATTGAATTTAAGTATTGCCCTACAATATACTCACAAACAAGACATTATCTTTCTTGAGCAAAAGTTTGGTAAATATCTATAGTATTTCTTTTGTGCGTGCTTTTCAGCCCTCATCTCGGCACCATTGACTTTGTACAAAAAAATAGATGTGCTAAAGAGTGAGTTTGTTGCAAAACTGAGATAAAAATAAAGATAAAAGACAGAGCACTGTATTAAAAAAGAATGGATGTTACGTAATGAGAGCCGAGTGGGAGGATTATATTTTTCATTAACCGTACCAGGTTTAATGGTACTGTACTTTGTTGCACTTTCTTATTATTGAAGGAGACTGCAAATATATGAATTTGCATGAGAATTAATTCATATACAGATGATGACCAAACCGCAACTCAGAAGATGGAGAAGCGATGAAGGTTTGGTCCGTCCTGGACCATTATCAAGTAGTGACACAATTTGATAATGGACGAACTGAAACGTTGTCACTTCTTCATCTTCCGATTTGTGGTTTGGTCATCATTTCTTTAGCCACGTTATTGTGACTCGTCTGTGTATACAGCTGACCCTTATATAACTGTAGTTTTGTTCTTTGTAAATATTTCTTTAAAAATGGGCTCTATTAACTGAACAACAAGGAGGAATTTTTTTAAACCTACAATTACAAGGAAAAAAAGGCCATTTTTTGGTTGGAACCATTTGAAAATGGTTTCACTTCGTATGTAATTATGTTGTATATGAACGATGTTTTTGTCGGCACAGGCCATACATTTGGATTTCTGCTAGAATTGACAGTTTTTATTTATCACCAACCAGTAGTCAAGTTGCCATTTTTCTTATTTCTTGTATTTGAATGTGCATTTATTTGTAAATAAATTATTTTATTGTTAATAAATCACAATAACATCTGCTTGTGTTTTCAGATTGTTGTGTGGGTTGATCCCTTAGACGGAACTGCTGAGTACACACAAGGTAATAATGAGTCTTTGGTAATCATTTTTACTATATATATATGTCCTAGTTTATTACATATATGATGGTTGAGGTTTTGGCTGAAGTAAAGATGGCTAATTTATTGAACACCCCCCCCCTCTCCTCCGCCTTGTGCAAAAAAAAAAAAAATCGATATAAATGCCCAAAAGGGGAATCGGGAGTGAATTTTATCAAAATTTTGAATTTCAATCACTACTAAATTCCAGGAGCTGTCAATAGCAACACCCCAGTGTCACAGGACTAGGTGTTCCTCATTAGCTGTCATATACAATACGAACAAATGCAATCGCCTCGCACCAATTTCCTTACCGTATCCTGTGTGTTGTTCATAGGATCCCTCGTCCTTACACACACTCATCATGTCCTCCCACTTTCTTCCCGGTCTTCCTCTTCTAAATAGTAACTAGAAGAAAACAACCTTATAAAAATTGTATGTGTACTAATGCAACTTTTTCCCTGTCTCTTGCTCAAGCTTTCGAATGCAGGGAGAGTGACCATCGGGGGGTTTGTAAAACACTTGGAGTGACTTGTGATAGTTAGTTTAAATTTGTTGAAATACTTCTTACACCTTCCTAGCTTCATCCCTCTTCATAATGCAGCCCTTATATATTATTGCACTTTGGTTTAGTTTGCTATATTGTATTTTGTATTAATAATGAAACTTACATCTTATAAAACACACACAAATAGTTGTTTGACAACATAGTCAAATGGAAGAATTTTACTTTCAAACCTTCCTCACGGATAATAATTAAAAAATAAAAGGCAACCATCTCAAATACTCTACGTTGTTTAGTAAAATGCCGCTAAATTGATGTATATTGATAGATTGAAAGGCAAAGAGCTTTCTAACTGTTGTGTTAGGGGTGATCTCTATAGGTTAAAATGTATTACAGTAATTAGTTTGGAGGAATATAGGCATAAGGATGGATTGAATTACAAGATCTTCTTTATGAATTGAGTTACAGTAATTTGTCCTATTCTTCGGTGAAATCATTGTTGCATATTGATGTAAATTTAGACAATGTTGAGAAGGAAATGCTTAAGCATTACATTTCTAAATTTTAGGAAGTCCTAACAAGTAACTTGGAACTTGTGAATAAGCTTATTCAAATGTTTTATTTTACGAAACCTGCTATTAATTCATATTTATAATATAGTACTCCGTTGTGGCTCAGTGTATCCTCAGGTACTCCTCCATATTATTTATTTGCCATGGTGCGTTGTGGGTATTTTTCGTATTAAAGTGTATATGGTATTTTTTTTATTTTGAATACTGCACTAAATACTCGTAGGCTACTTCCATATTAAAATACCAGTTGTAATTTGTCGAGTGTCTCAATCTGATATGACATGTATAAAATCAAAACTTCCATGTATACTCAGAATCCAACGGACCCTCAAAAGTGGAAGTTTCTTGTATGAATAAGACATCAAAGATAGAGGTGCAGGATCTGGTTTGGTTGGGTTTTAAAGGCTCGAGAAATTTTGAGGTAGTTTGTAATGTCTTTAGTAAATTATGCAGCTCCTTTGAATTGAATGATAAAGTACAACTGCGTATAGAAATAAAGTACATAGGTATAAAGTGTTAGGTAATTCTTTTGTGAGCCCTTTTTTGCTTTTTTAAGAGCCCAGAATACATGCAGTTTCGGGTAAATCATTTAAAGATATTGAGGATTACATTATTGTACTGTATATGCAGGATGAAAGCAGTAAACATCGTGTAGTGTAGGATTTAGCGCACTGAGAGCCATTACAGTATACTATATAGTGTCGCTGATCATTTGCACTGCTTTAATAAAAACTTTCATCTTTTAACTGATACACGATATTGCCTCTCGTGGAGGCATTATCTTCTAATAAATTTATATACACCTTATTGAAGCATTGTTTCCATGTGACTGCACCTGTGTTTTGCATGCTTTTATTCAGATTTGAACTACACCAAGTACTGTACTTTAACAAAGAAATTTGTTTTGGCTTTCATGTGATATTATATTTGATATTTTGGCATGTTGTAATTTGCCTCATAAAATTTCATCTCAAAATTATATACTTTTGACTACATATTGTTAATTAAGTGTTCAGTAATGGTACTAATGAGTCAATATTAGCTGGGAATCCTTAACAGGTCTTCTTGACCACGTGACGGTGCTGATTGGCTTTGCTTCCGCTGGGAAAGCAGTTGGAGGAGTTATTCACCAACCCTACTACAATTATCAAAATCCTGGGTAAGCACTTGGGAAAATTTGTATGTACAGTACAGTATTTTTTGTTCATGTTGGGATTTGTTTCTAAACTAGGCACTGGAGCCTGAGTACCAAAATTCAGTATCCTTTTACCAAAAAACAAGATCTGCCACTTGCTTACATGCAGTTCTCCACTTACTACTGGGTACAAAGTAAGAAATATGGCAATGATTATAAAAACCTACTCACTCTTTTTCTGTCATGTTGCAGGAGTGAGCTAGGTCGGACTATATGGGGAATAGTGGGAGGAGAAGTTTGTGGGATGCCACTGGTGTCTCCTCCAGATGGTCGTTTGATTGTCACTACCACAAGGTCACACTCTTCTTCAACTGTTAATGATGCAATTGATGCAGTCTCCCCTGATGAGGTTCTCAGGGTTGGAGGAGCAGGTCATAAAGTGAGTTGTTACGTACCTCCCAAAGGAATATTCTGGAGATTTAACTTAATTAATATTTTTCTGAGCTGTTGGCTACTTTCTAAGGCAAGTACCTTTTGGCCCCCCAGGACAGGTCTATGCATAATCACGGCAGGTCAACAATCTTCCCCCAGTGAAACAGACAGCTTTTCAAACTGTCCATGTTGAGTCGTACAAATGTTAGAAAGAAACCGGAGAATATTCAGTCCTTCCCCAAAGGACTCCCAGAAAGCTCTATAGAAAACTCAAAGCTCTTCCAGGTATTAATATTAATATTCTTGCAAACTACCAGTTGCTCCATCTTCATGCTACACCTGACCACCACCAGGTCACCTGGAAAATATAAAGTCCCCTAACTCCAGCTACCTCACTGGCTTCCATGCTGGGTGATGGATACACGAGTCATTCTTTAGAAACTCGGGTATTGTTATGCAGTGGGATTATGCTATAAGTAGATGGTTTTTATATGTGTATAAAAGTCATTTGTGTATGCATGCTCTTAAAAAATAAAAAAAGGAGTTCTGTAATGAATATACATCCAGCAGAGAATTGGTACTTTCAGTAGAGTACTGATATTACAGCACACGAACCCACAACATAGCTATAGGTTGGTGCTGCTTCAGACTACAGTACAGAGGAACCTCGGTTTTCGAATGCCCCTGTTTTCAAATTTGTTTCTTGAGCTCATTTTCTTAGAAAAATTTGATCTGGTACTCGAGGTTTGCCTTGGTGCTCGAGCTTATTGATACACATACGGGCTGACCGAGCATGTGGCGTGCTTCAGTTTAACAGCGTTTCCCGCCTAGTGACGACCACGCTTGAATTCTTTAAGAATTTCATTGTTTTTGTACTTTCTTGGTTTCTGAACATAAGTTCTTATTATATATCACGCCATGGATTCCAAGCATACTGGGACTGAAATAAGAAAAATAATGAATGCAGATAACCATAACAAAATCAAAGGATTCCTGTTGTACTGATGTGGAATGTTGTCCTGCTCTAACTAAGCATAGTCCTGTCCATGGATACTGCAGGGGGCCTTGCCTAAGGTGTGATAGTGCTACAACTCAGAAATATATATTAAATAAACATTTTGCTTGATCTTGAAGATAAACCATTATTAATTAGCACATCCTACAATATCACACATATTTCCTGGCTATGTATTAACTTTATTACTTGTTCTTTATCATTGATCATCCAGCTTTCAACAAACATTTTCAGGTGATGCTCCTTTTGGAAGGAAAGGCTCACGTGTACGTCTTTGCCAGCCCCGGTTGCAAAAAATGGGACACCTGTGCTCCCCAAGCTATTTTAGAAGCAGCTGGAGGAACACTAACAGATATCAAAGGTGCTTTAATCCCGTATCATTCTACTGCTCCCCACAGGTATGTTGTCGACTATATCACTATATACTTGTTCATGTTGAAGTATAATTAGTCTTGATAGTTCTATTTTATACTGGATCACTGCAACCCAATATAGAAAGCTATGCTCTTACATAATGATGGATTTATGCAGAAACTCGACTGGGGTGCTTGCTTCAGCACCAGGTCAGAAACATGAGGTCTTCCTAGCCAAGATTCCACAGCACGTTAAGGACAATTTAAAAGCCTAATGTTTTGACCTGATTTAGTGCATTGTTGTTCTTGAGGTGCATCGTACATCAACCATGGTCATTGGTGAGATACATTATCATTAAGTACTTATTGTAATTCACAGAGCATAATAATGATACATTTTAAATTTTAATTTGTTTATTGCCTGCATAAACATATTAAAATGGAAAATTTATGTGGACAAAATATTTTGTAAATGCTTTATTTGTACATATAGTAGTTTTTTTCAGTGCTTCTTTGGTTTAGGAACTGTTGTGTTATTTCCATTGAAATAAAGTAAAGAATAGTTAAAGAAGAAAGATTTTGATAAAAGGCTTTTTTGTTAATTTTGGTGGTGGGTAAAGTGAGATGTATGTGGCAGAGGTGAAGTAAAGCACAGTGTGGAGGCACTTACCGTGGCCTCGTCACTTACCGTGGCCTCGTCACTTACTGTAGCCTCATCACTTACCGTGGCCTCGTCACTTACCGTGGCCTCGTCACTTACCGTGGCCTCGTCACATGCCTGTGGCTCGTGTTCTCTGGATATCTTGTCACCGTCTGCTTTCATTTCTGCCGTGTAAGTCTTCCTGCTGTGGTGCTTTCTTTTGATAAGTATACGCGTGACTTATAATTGACTGAATCAAAATGTGATTGGATTATTTCACTGTAATGCACTGAATTTTTTGTATCTGGTAAGGGTTCAGGTAATTAAAGTGTGCTTAGCATAACTACAATCAACATTAACTACAAATGTTATTTCATTTATTTAGTGTTACTAATTAAAAAATAAGAAATACTAGCAAACAATTATTAAATGTTAGAAATGCATGTTTTTGTGTTTATAAACTCTTAATATTTGTTGTCTAAAAATTAAGAAAGGCTCTAGTCGCTTTACACTTAAATACCGAGCTGCATTCAGTCCCCAGTTGGTTTGGTTAATGTAGAGTAGACTACATTTGTGTATTTTAACATTCCTCTCTACCACAATCTTTCCTAAAGACTTAGGAATAGCTTTTGCACAAAGTTGAGCATGAAACTGTTTTACAGGATTTAACAAATAAAATATTCCTCTCTTAGGAAGTAATATAGAGATTAACATATACTTTAGGGTTAGAATCCAGCCTTGTGGAATAATGTGAGAGTGGTACTATAGTATCAGGAGTAGTTACAGTACTTGGAATTTACTGTTTCATTAATATAAATAATTTTGTTGCCCGAAACGCTATGCGTGCTAGTGGCTTTACAAGAATGTAAAATCAACTGCGTTTCTATGTTCTCTCTTAACCCCTAATGTACCTTCTTGTATATAAATAAATTAATAAAGTAAGTTCAATAGAATGAGTGGGGTCTAGAATAAGGTTGATGTACTGAATATTTGTGAAACGCACCGGTTTGACACCACTCGTCTTGCGTGTTTTTTACACTTGTATTGGCATCGTGAGTGATGTCTAGTAACTTTGTTTATTGTTCTACAACAGTGCTAAATAGTCTTCCAGGCTTGGCATCTTTTCATAATTACTTACTTGAAAGTCGGCTGGTTTTATTTACACCCAATTATTTTTATTAGTATTGCTCTATTTTGAATGTTTTGTAACGGTTCTATTGTTACGTAAAGTATGGTGACAAACACAGACACTAAGATACTATATATATATTTGGTTGAATATACAGAAGTACACAGGTGATACTTTGGTGTGAGTTGAGCGCACTGAGCGTCGGTACAGTATCTCGCAAGTGTCTGCTCTAGACCACACTTGAAAGTAGACTCTGGCTTAATATTTGCTATCCTGCTGCTTATATGCCCGGGCAACTCCTCACCGTATTGCTCGGGCAACGCCTCACCTCATTCATCTCCAAAGGTTGATAGGAATATTAACAATGCATTTGGAGCGAGTATATTATTGGATAATCTACTCGCTACAGTTTTAAAAGGCATTTTCCTTCTTAATGATGGTTATTAGCACTGTGTTGCACTCCTATGTGGCTATATTGAGCCAAATGCACAGTTAGTGTACATTATAATATATGAATGAAATAATTAGTTCATTTGGGAATTTCAAAATATAATTGGAAAAGATCACAAAGGCAAATGGGGAGGGGACCTTCGACAAGCCGCCGGCTTGTTGGCCTCACCGAGGCCACTAGGGTTAGTGTCCCTCGAGTAAATCGGGTAAATAATAACCAACTATTTAGAAAAAAAAGTAACGTAAACTGGATATTTCAGATATCCAGATATATGGAATATACTGTATATGCGTGCATGCGTCTAGTGTCTCACTGAGTATTTCCTTCACTCTCCCAAATCCTAATCCTGATCCCTTCCAAGTGCTATGTAGTCGTAATGGCTTGGCACTTTCTCCCGATTCCCTTCCATTCTCTCTCCCCCCTCCTCCTTACCCCCCCCCCCCTCCTTACCCCCCCCCCTCCTTACCCCCCCCTCCTACCCCCCCCCCCCCCCCCCCCCCCCCCTTCTCCCCCTTTATCACGAGTCGGCCACATATCTCGTCCTGTACTGGTGAATGATGTATAATGAACTAGCTTTGTGCCGTGTCACTGACTGCTGGGAGATGTGCTCGCACGGGTCACCAATCATGCCTCATTGTGGTTAACCTCGGAAAGTGACAGTCTTAATGTTGTCTGAAAGACCCGTTCATTTGAGTACGTTTCGAAGCTTGATGGATGACTTTGATCAAGATGGAATATGAAGGAGCTTGGGATCATATCGGACATTGCCAGTCATCTTGGGGACGCTAGACATATCTTCAGGTTTTGGGATGCAAAGATTGATTACTTGCCAATATAAATAGCTATACCATACTTCCTCGCCTTACCTTCTTTTGTTTCCTTCCCCCCCCCCTCTCCATCTCTCCTTTCCCTCTCTTCCTTCCCCTTCTCTCTCTCTCTCTCTCTCCCTTTTTCTCTGTCCCAACCACTTGGACTGGGCAGTAGAGCGACGGTCTCTCTTCATGCAGGTCGGCGTTCAATCCCCGACCATCCAAGTGATTGGGCACCATTCTTTTCCTTCCCCGTCCCATCCCAAATCCTTATCCTGAACCCTCCCCAGTGCTATATAGTCATAATGGCTTGGTGCTTTACCCTGATAATTCTTCTCCCCCCTCTCTCTCTCTCTCTCTCTCTCTCTCTCTCTCTCTCTCTCTCTCTCTCTCTCTCTCTCTCTCTCTCTCTCTCTCTCTCTCTCACACACTCACTCTCTCTCTCTCTCTCTCACTCTCTCTCTCTCTCTCTCTCTCTCTCTCTCTCTCTCTCTCTCTCTCTCTCTCTCTCTCTCTCTCTCTCTCTCTCTCTCTCTCTCTCACACACACACACTCTCACACTCTCTCACACACACACACACACACACACACACACACACACACACACACACACACACACACACACTCACTCTCACTCACACCACAACACACTGGGGGGGTCACCACTTGACCATCCCTAGTGGCATGCATCTGGGTGACAAAAAAGACCTCAGCACAGTTAAACACTTTCATACTCAATGCATCATCTGAGTAGTGTGTTGGAAGGACTCCAGACCTTGAGTGACTAGCAAGCAAAGGCGGGTCTCCTCTGAAACCCCCTTTAGTCCTGGCCTGCTTGGCACACTCTTGACTCCAGCTCGTTAAACGGGAGCCGCTTGGAAATGAATAAAACTCTCTAGATTATTTCTATGGTGCCATAAGGGGATCGGGATCGCTCAGTATATGCTCCCCTTAGAAGGGGGGTCGGCCTCAATGCTCCTCTTCGTGATGGCGGTGGCTATGAAATGTTCTGGGCTCAGTCCATAGAATTTAGCGATTGTTCATTTTGACATGCAAAAATGTATGTTTAGATGTATATATATTCAGGTGAACATAAATGTATGTTCAGGTGTATATAGGACAGGAGGAGAGGGAGGTGTGTGTATATAGGACAGGAGGAGAGGGGTGAGGGAGGTGTCGGCAGTGAGAGCCAAGATGCAGCTAGGACACCACCAAGGTCGTCCACCACACTTAACGGGTCTGAACATCTCTGCCCTGGCTACCATCTGCCTCATACCCATCCCTTATACCCACCTACACTCTCTACACCCGTCTCCTCACCCCCTCTACACCTGACCACTCACACCATCACCACACCCCCTACATCTCCATACCTGCAGCCACCACCAGGCTTGCCTTAACGCGTCCCAAACCTGCTCCGGTGACGGCATGTGTGTGTTCTCACAAACCCCCATAACGGTTTTGAGATATCCATGTGTATTAACACCCCTGCAAAGAGCCGTACAGGGTGGTAGGGAACGGCTCTGGCCAGACTGTGTGTTGACCCTACACGCACACACGCTTCAAGGAGCGCCGCCCTGCTCCTTATAGTCCCAACTGCATTGTTGTACTTAAAGTCGTCCACCTCATTGTCAAATATCCTAATTTTCATCTCCATCTCGTGATCTGAGTGCCCCTCTAATACCTACATAGCTCTCCCAGCTCCCTCTCATAGTCTCAGCGCCCCTATAGTTCCTACACTAGGACCCAGCTTCTCATAGTCTTGTAGCGAGTATATTATGTCAACAATATACTCGCTTCGACACAGAGCAGACAGCAGACTTCGACTCCATTTAGACACTCACAACCCCCATCGAGTTTAGACACCATTCCCCATCGAGCTGCCACGCTTTCCTGCATAGAGCTCCGCGACTCCGGCCTCACTCAGCTCTGTGCTCCAAGCTCCGTCTCAACGTCTACGACACTACCAACAACCGACTGCTGTAATCAGGACTACTAAATAAATATGAAACCCACTAAACACTCTGTATCTAACCTACCCAACAACGTAACATAATCGTACGTTACAGTCTCAGCGCCCCACTAGTACCTACGCTAGTACCTCAAGTATTAATACCTACACTAGTACCTCTAGTATAGTACCTACACTATTCTTAGTCTGGAGAAACAGGTCTGGCGTCCAGCTGCGTTATACACTAACTGGCAACTGACGTCACTCTGACAGGCAAGACGGCTCGATAATAATTGATAATTCGCATACCAATACAGGTATGGTGCTACGGTACGCTGGCCTCGGGGGCTGTTACTTCTACGGTACGCTCTTGTGGCTGTACCTCTGGTGCTACGGTACGCTCCTGTGGCTGTACCTCTGGTGCTACGGTATGCTCCTGTGACTGTACCTCTGGTGCTACGGTACGCTCCTGTAGCTGTACCTTTTGCTGCGATACGCTGGTAACAGCGGCCAGAGAATGGTACCGCATCCCATACCCATCCTGTGAGTGGTAGCGCATCCCATACCCATCCTGTGAGTGGTAGCGCATCCCATACCCATCCTGTGAGTGGTAGCGCATCCCATACCCATCCTGTGAGTGGTAGCGCATCCCATACCCATCCTGTGAGTGGTAGCGCATCCCATACCCATCCTGTGAGTGGTAGCGCATCCCATACCCATCCTGTGAGTGGTAGCGCACCCCATACCCATCCTGTGAGCGGTAGCGCATCCCATACCCATCCTGTGAGTGGTAGCGCATCCCATACCCATCCTGTGAGTGGTAGCGCACCACATACCCATCCTGTGAGCGGTAGTGGTAAAGCTTACAGAGTCACATAATAACCACAGAAAGTTAACCCCAAATTCGTTCATCTGCGCACCGCACTTTTATTTCCGGTAAAATACTGTATTGCTCGCGGAAGCTATTTTCAGCACGGTTACCTTTCACAGAATGAAATGGCCCGAGATTACTTGAGAGAGAAAGAGAGAATGAGAATAAATGCGTGTCTTCCTCCTATTGTCAATTGCAGACGCGTGTTGTAGACTGCACGTGTTACCCTAGCACATGGCGCCGCCCGCCCTCGCTGCCACACACACGATCACATAAACATTGCCCTGATACACTATATCCCCCTATATGTAGTTATACCTCAGCTGGAGTTGTGTTGTGAATAAGCGAGTTATATGTCCAGTTGGGCGTATAAGTGGCAGTTTGTGGGGCTGTGGCATTAGCGTGGTGGTGGTAAGACTTAGTGACGTCAGACGTTGGCATACAAGTTAGGACGGTTGCCCGTCGAGTCTCAGTACCTGGCCACGGGTCACACGCAGAGGGAGCTCCACGCTACCGCCCGGCCCGTCTCGCTCACTACTGGTGTCAGTGCCTCCCTAAACTTACTCTCTCTCATAAGTGCTACTCACGTCAACATTGATCGATACTGGGATTAACGCCTTGATACCGATGACATAAACAAGTAAGTTATTTACCTGGATATATGTTATCTATATGATATAGATAAGTGTGGAAATTTGAACAGGACAAGGATAGTTATCCCAGTGTGGTCCTGTTCACTGGTGGCGCCATGAACATAAGAACAAGGCAACTGCAGAGGGCCTATTGGCCCATACGAGGCAGCTCCTATTTATAACCACCCAATCCCACTCATATACACGACTCAACACTTGCCTAAACAATGCTAACTTGGGGTAACTCACAAGTACTTCCTCTAAAATGTTTCCAGTAATGCAACTTATGATCTATTTTTGTGATGCGATGAGTTAGTTATAAGTATTAGCTGTAGTAATACTAATAAAACTTTTAGTAATTTGTACATCGTATCATGCCTCTTGGACTTGTGGAGTTACTTCCGTGTCCAGATTGGAACCAGTCTGTTGTCCACGTGTAGATTATTACATATCTCTCATCTGCTTTCTAGAAAATACAGATTTAGACATTGTAAAAGTTCATAGTAATTTAGATGTGTTATTGAGCGTAATTGGGCAGTTCTCCAGTACTCTGCACGTTCTCCAGATCGGCAACTATTCCAGCTTAAAATGGGGCTGTTATTGTGTTAACAATATTTCACCGTAGAGAGCACTATTGTCTTCAAGCCTCATGTGAAAGTGTGAAATCATTTGAAAATGTGAAAGATCATTTGTGTGAAAGGTTCTTGTTAGCCATCTTATGTCCTACAGTTGTGACAGCTAGTGTTGTCTTCTCTGAAAGGTCTTCTAACATTATTCCCAAATCTTGTATATTGCTTTTCTTTTTATTGTGTGATTTTACTGCTTTGTGTTTCCTTTTTATATTTTCATGTTACATAGCGAAGGAGTTTGAACTTATTTTCATTAAATATAATATTTTCTGCCCCATTGAAAAACCTGATTTACATCAGTTTAGACGTTTCTTGTGTCCAATGTTGTCTACTATCATTTGAAATTGAAATTGAAATAAGTTTATTGAGGTAAAATACACACAAAGAGATGAGGTAGCTCAAGCTATTCTCACCCCGTTCAGTACAACGTGTTAATATATACATAGACACACATCACAAATAAACATATTACCAAACATTCTGAGAGATAAACATATACATTTCCTCCTTCACAAGGAGTATGTTATCAGACGTACACACAAATACTTTTATGACTACTATCATTAACATCCTGGTGTCATGTACAGAGGATGATACAGTACTATGGTTTGTGTCCTTGCTTGTCACATACGAGCATGATGATAAATACCGGAGCAAGCACAGTACCTTGGCGGACTATTTATTTATTTATATACAAGAAGGTACATTGGGTTTGTGAGAATACATCGCATAGTATTTACAATCTTGTAAAGCCACTAGTACGCGCGGCGTTTCGGGCAGGTCCTTAATCTAACAGATAATTTTAAGTAGGTAAATTCTAGCAGAATTTACTAACTACTAATCTAAGTAACTAATTACTAATCTAGACTAAGCTTTTCACGGTGGCTAGTTCCGATTTGGCTTTGTTGATTATTACACTCTGGGTTCTGTTCGTTAAGAAATTAAAAGATTCATCTTCCTACTTTGCTAGTAATTCCTCCTGTGTGCAATAACGCCATGGTCACATTTGTCAAACTTTCGCGACATGTGTGTATATTACATTAGCACTTTGCTTGTCTCCCATAGCAGGTAAGGTCATGTCATAGTGGTACTACGGGCTCACCATAGCCCGTGCTACTTGGAACTTTTTGTTCCAGGTAGCGAATCTTAAACATCATAGTGGTCCAGCACTTGTGTGAGGCAGGATCCAGCGCCCTGTTCTAAACCACTGTCTCCAGGGTCATGTAGAAGCTGTCATTCCATGTGTTTTGTAACCTTACTTTATATCATTCAGGGATTGTTATGATGTGTGATGTTGGTCCATAGATTTTGCATCTGCCTTACTGCTTCCTTGGATGTGTAGCGCGATCTCTGCTTTTGTAAGCGTGTCTGGGATAGCACCAGTATTCAGGATCTGTTTAAAAATAAAGTGCAGGGCCCTGATGGTGCTTTTTAGCAATTTTTGATAAATATAGAATTCCAGAAGTGTGGGCCTGGGCAGAGTGCTAGGCATGATTTATTTATGGTTACTGATGGAGTTAGTGACATTTGATGTATGGTTCCATGTTGGAATCATTCATTTAGAATTCGTTTGGATTATCGATCATCAGTGTGTTCAGGGGTTTATTGAAAACGGAATCGTATTGTATCCTCAGAATTTCACTAATTTTGTTATCTGTGAAAGTTCCATTTTTCCTTCTGCAAGGTTCAATGCCGGATGGAGTTTTTGAAGAATTTGCGTATGAGAAAAAGTATTTAGTTATCTGTTTCACTGATGGTCTTTTGTTCTTTGCCTCTCCTGGCTTTTGTATGTTTCTTGTAGCTCTATTGTTTCTATTTGCTTACATAGCCTTCCTAGTCGTTATTGGAATGATGGGCCATTCAAGGTTCTACCATTTTTCTTCGCCTATATAGAGAATATTTTTGGCATCCTTTTCTCTCTTTGTGGTATGTGACTTGAGCACATGTCTAGTGGTATGTGACATGAGCATGTGTCTAGTGGTATGTGACATGAGCATGTGTCTAGTGGTATGTGACACGAGTACATGTCTAGTGCTACTGAGCCTATTTTCTCGAGGTTCTGATTTAGCTTTGTATTATGTAGCTGTTCTTCCCAGCCTATTTCTGTGAGGTCTTGGTTACATTACCAATGCTTTTCTGAACTTCGATTAGGGTGTGACCTAAGTAACATGTATTTGTAATTATATTCCTGTAACCAGTTCATATTTGTGAACATAAAGTGTTGGGTATTTTTGTAATTGGTTGCTCTGAGAGGTGAGGGGTTGAGTCCTAGTGTGTTGACGCTGGTAGTGGTGCTCGAAGGGAAACTGCTGCTACTATGCAGACGAGGAGTCACAATAACGTGGCTGAAACACGTTAACCAAACCACACACTAGAAAGTGAAGAGAGGACGTGTCGGTCCATCCTGGACCATTCTCAAGTCGATTGTGCTACTATCTTCTACTACCTTAGGTACTGCTACTACCTTCCAGGTCACCATTTCGGTCCCGTCTTGTCTAGTAGTCCTCACCCACACTTACGCTCTCCCACAAGTCTACTCCCACACTTACGAGCCTACTAGTGATCCCTTGTCACAAGGGAACCATCTACAATTATAATAAACAGGTAATTTTAATTGTTCGAAACTTGATAAAGGTTAGCTAATAAATGTCTCCATCTGTAAAGAAAATGAATATATATAAAACTGGAAATATGTAAACAAAAAAGCTGGAAATCCTCTCTTCTCCCTCTTCCTCTTCCTTATCTCTTCTCTTCCCATGACTCACCTTCCCACGCTACACACTATCGCTTCCGCCATACCCCGCCCTTCTCTTATCAGGCTTCTCACGTTTTGATAAGCGTGTAATATATACTTGTGTGTGTAAGCTTACGATACACTGTGGGTCTTTCGCGCAGTTGCTCGCTTCTTCCCACAAAACCCTCAATTGTGGACGTTTGTGACTGTAGTATACATATTTGTAGGCATTGTGAGGATAGCGTGACATGGTCTGATTGTGTGGTTCATCTGTTTGCTCCACCCGACCCTCCGCCTTTCGCTCCACCCGACTCGCTCTCGTTCGCTCCACCCGACTCGCTCTCGTTCGCTCCACCCGACTCGCTCTCGTTCGCTCCACCCGACCCGCTGCCGTTCGCTCCACCCGCCCCTCCGCCATTCGCTCCACCCGCCCCTCCGCCGTTCGCTCCACCCGCCCCTCCGACGTTCGCTCCACCCGCCCCTCCGCCGTTCGCTCCACCCGCCCCTCCGCCATCCGCTCCACCCGACCATCCGCTCCACCCGACCGACCGGCCGCCGTCCGCTCCACCCGACCGACCGGCGTTCCCTATTCCTTCTCTTCCAGTAGTTACATATTTCATCATTAAACTTCTTGCATTGTTCTGCTCTATATTTATATTCACTGTTTCAGTTCTTTGTCTCAAGCCAGTGTTCTCACCCGCCGTTCACAAGACGTTCATACGGGGTTAATTCCACTTTCACACAACGTTCATACGACATTCAGCACGTTATATTTCATATTTCCCATATTTTTCTCATTTTAATTTTGCTTTAGAGTTATAGTTGGTATGATGGGATTTCGAGGTGTGTGAGCGTGGCGGGGTATCAGGCCGTGACGCCCTGTGTGTCGTCAAGGAGCAAGTATACTTTACCCCTGAACAAAGCCCAACATCCACTGTACACACAACCAAGTGGGTTACACACCTCTTAGTGTACATAACTCGGACCTTGCCTCAACTGACCTCCACATATCTTCTGGGGAAGCTGAATACTTGCCCAACTTGGGCTTTATCTTCTTGTACACGCGGCTTGCAAATGATGAATAAGACGAGTTGTGATGATTAGAAGTCTGGAGGCTGGAATGGACTCGTGAGCCTGCGCACCACCCCGCCGGGGACACTCCTGGCCTGCGACCTGAGTACTGTGCCCGCTTCCTCTACAGAACCTCAACAAACACAAGATGAAATGTTTTCTTTTCGTCACAGACGAAGAGTTACACCGCTGTGTGGATCTCGGCCGTCTGTGAGATGACAACCTTACAGATACACACACACAATCCATGCATTAATGGCGAGTCTCACCATGCTAGTGTTGTGATGAACACTTTGGTAATTTGACCAGACCACACTAGAAGGTGAAGGGACGACGACGTTTCGGTCCGTCCTTTACCATTCTCAAGTCGATTGTCGCTTGCACACTTTGGTAACTTGGTCATGGCAACCCTTCCCTTCGGTCACCTCGAAAATATTCTTGAGGGACATTCAATGACTCATTTCAACAGAGACCCAAATTGTAATTACCATTGTCTTGGTGCAGTGCTGACAATGGCCAGACTTGCAGTCATGTTAAGCTATGGAAGGAATCCATCTCTCCATGTTGTAGCGAG